CCGCCATAACAATCATATTGAACTGCGCGCATAAGTTTCCCCGCCATGATTAACCAACTCGCAGTTGCTCTAATTACACAATTAAGAATGCAGAAAATAAATTTATATCTTATAGGGATTAAACTAAAGCAGCAAAAGTTGTGACCAAAATGTTGGCGCAAAACGGACTTTTATAGCAGAGCAGACTGCGTAAATGCATAGATTGATGGACACCACACAATTGTCTACTCTAAAATCGTTCCCACTTAAAACTGGGAATTATGACTTAGAAAAGTAGGAGCTGGTTATGTTGACAAAATCTACGTCCAAGCTCCACTTGATCGACTAGGAAAATTAAGAGCTTGGTTAGGTTACCCAAAATAAAGCACTTAGTAGTATCCGTTTGACACGACTTTTGAATTTGTTAGACTAATTTTTTAAATGTTGAACCTTGCCCCGCCCCTATAGCATTGTAGAGAAGGTAATTAAATCGCGAGATGTGCCACAACATGTTTGCGTACAAGTAACTGTCATACTTGTACCTACAAAAGTCCAATTTCATATATTGTAAGAGATAAGAACTGAACTCTCACATTGCGGTTGTCAGCTTAGCTGATACTACCTCACTTCTGTCATTTGCACCACTGAACTATGTATCGGGGGACTGTTAGACTAATTTTTTGAACATATCGTAGTTTGAAGAATTTTTAGCAAAAATTAATCTAATGTCGTTTCCTTTAAAATCACTTTTGGAATCCAAAATGCTTTTAAAAATTAGTTTACAAACAAAAATGGAGGTAGTTTTCTTTCAAAAAATTTCTACAGAAAGTAAAAGTCATTTCAAACGAGACCATAGTACACACTCCTATTTGAATTTAGGATTAGCAACATGTAAGTTTGTTATTATGGATATTTTTTTACAAAGAAATTGCACATCATGGTATACGAGGCGTTATAATTCTTCTTTCTTGTAGACAAGTACGAAATTGAGATTTTTTGTGGAACATGATTGGTTTTTAAGGTCATTCCGGAGAAAAGTTTTGAGTCTAATTGACTTTGTTGAGAACTTTTGGGCTAGGCTCAGAGCCAAACCCAAAAACAGGACGTCAATGTAACACCCTGCAATTGGAGGGCGGCTGACCACATCGGCGCCCTGTTTTTGGTCCTGGCTCTAAGCCGGGCCCAGAAGCAATACCCTTGCATTTGATCTAATGTTGTCTATATAACTTATGTCCTTTATAGAGCATTGTCTTGTAAGGGCACAAACATCAATAATTTCCCCATCGTTTGAAATTGGGTTTGTCGTGTTTTATATTTTATTTCGACGACACATATTTAACGAAAATTTGTATTGTACTTAAAAATATGTAAAACACCACTGAACTTAATGACATTTCATCACAACTTTAATTTTGTTACAACATTAACTTCCATTAGTGAAATGGAAAAATCTAACGTGCCATTTTTTTCTTGAAAATGAGTCTTTATTTCCGGCGTGACTTTTCGTTTATGAATTTTTCTGTTCAGAAAAAATACAGATACTCACATGGGGATGGGCTCCATGTGAATTAAATATTGCTAGAAAAAACGGGACATACCTATTTATGTGTATTCTGTATGCTTTCTCTGTGTTTTTTCTGTATACAAAGACTGTTACTTTGTTTATTAAGATACATTTTTGTTTGTTTGCGTATATTCAAAAGGACAACCATTGACCTCTTTTCTAAGGATACATGAATTCTATGTTAAATCTGAACAGTTAAATCAAATAATTAAATGATCTCTTGATGTAGATTGTTAAAGATTTCCATTGAAGCAATCCACAAGCGAATTAAACACAAACTATCAACTGTAAATTAGCAATCACCAAGCATTCTGCAGAAGTTCTCTCTCTTCTTTACATTTAATAGAAGTATATAAGAATGAGACGAAATTAAAAATCACTTCAAGCACCAACTTTCATTCAAAATAAAGAGGATCTTAGGTCGAGCATAAGAGAACCACGCCATAATTTATCATAACAACAGTACAATGTATTTACCAATCCACACAGTTCCCAATGAAACAAATATGGCATGAACCACTGAGAAGTGACAATCAATGCTGTTTACCGATTCATGGCTCGACTATAATCTTGCCAGTAGCATGACCATCTATGCTCTTAGCCCAAGCTTCTTCAGCTCTGCTCAGAGGATGTTTTGAGTCGATAACTGTCTTGAGTTTCCCTCCCTTAACCAAGTTAACTAAGTACTCGAGCTTCTCCTTTTTGGGAATTAGCAGCAGTGGCACCAACTGCTTCTTGGAGAGAGTAAGTTTCTGTACCGCAAAGGTCCACATGGCACTGGGGCCAGGAGTGATATCAATTACCTTCCCCGTCGCACTCAAATTTGGCTCAAAAACAGACCAAGGAATGGGTGTTGCACAATGAACCACAGCATCATATTTCTGACCTGAAGGACTCTTTAGAGCTGCTCCCTCTGGGGTCTTGTAATCAAGAACCTCATCTGCTCCTAGGCTTTTCACCAAATCAATATTACGCGAACCACAAGTAGCTGTCACATGTGTATTTCCGAGCTTGGCCAATTGAACAGCGTAATGACCAACACCACCCGAGGCAGCAGTTATAAGAATGTTCTTCCGTGGGCCACTCCCGTCAAGCTTGACCCCTGCGGATTGGGTGAGAGCCATGTGAGCTGTAAGGCCAGCAACAGGCAGGCCTGCACCTTCAGCAGCGGATACTTCAGGAGGCCTTGGAACAGTCAGGCTCTCTTTAGCCATAGCATACTCAGCCAAACCACCTCCAGTCTGTCATTGAAATTAACAAAGATATAACAGCAGAAACTACTCATAACTTGCATAGGCACATTCTTTCACAACATAAATTCTGAATTCCTAATCATATATAGGGAAAACTCTGTATAATCAAAATTCAACACGACCAAACAAAATATCTTTCATACTCTTTAATATTGACTTTCAATAAATATGAACAATAGTTTTCCATCAAGGAAATGTAAAAACTCAAATAACACAGTTGTGTCGCAACAAAATAAATAAAAAGGTTACACTTACAAGATGACTTAGCACGGCAACAACTTGGTCTCCTGGTTTGAAATTTTTTACGCCAGGTCCAACCTCCTGTATCACCCCTGCTACATCAGTGGCTGCTCCAGCAAAAGGAAAGAAATAAGGAAAAATATGTAAATATTAAGAAACATTTTTCCACTATTTCTGTCTTAAAGATCTAAATATAATATTGCCAGAAGGTGGGGTAGGAGTTGAATTTTGATGTTCCAGATCAAACAATGTGGCATGGAAAAACTAATATGAGAACATTACAAAAGGTGCAAGACTTCTATCACTATAAAATATCAGTACATTTAACAACACATTACCATAATTGTCATAAAAATTGTTACTCCTTTCGCATTATTTTCTCAATTTCAACCCACTTCTGAATTTTCTACACCAGTTTACATATTAGCTGAATATTTTCTTCAACACTCTTCTCTTCCTCTCCGTATCATATATACATATACACAGTATTTAATATTTTTCTTAAACCATCCTCTGTTCCTCAACCCCATGCTAAGTATCCAAGATTAACCAATGAGTACATGCTCCATGTGAAACCCACTCGTAGACATCACTTTTGCAATTCTTCACTTGGGAACAAGCCAAAGTTTTCTACATTTAAATATGTAAAAAGAGTGTTAGGAATATTGAGCCTAACTCCACCTAATAAAACCGGTTTATTAGGGGAGGATTGCCCTCACGTTATTAAGTAGATCATTTATATTTTCCCAAACAATGTGGGATTCTAATACGCCCCCTCACGCACA